GAGGGGACAGTTTGCATATCAGCCTTTTATTATATAGGATTATATAGGCTAAGTTACTACAAATGGAGTTTACACTTGAGAACAGTTGAGTGGAGGGCGGGCGGTATTCCTAGAAATAGCCATACGATCTGTTTGCTGTTTAAATAGAATTCGTAGAACGAGATTCAGCGGGACCTCATAAAGCTCCAGTGTTAATTTTGCTGGAGGAAAACCAAACCGGTAGGTGGCAAACCACTTCCTTCTATTTTTGAAGGTAGTGGTAAGGATAGATGGCTACTACTGGGTCTAGCTCAAGACAGGGGTCCGGTGAGTGGGCCGAAGGAATCAAGGTCCCATGCTGTCTGGTTTCAGCATCTTTATTCATGATTTGGGAGAGAAGCTAACACAGCACAAATATTTCAGGTAATCCTAAATGAAATGACCTACCTATCTATGGCACAGACAATATTATTCTAATATAAGGGGCTTTTTTTTTTTTTTTTTTTTTTTTTCCCTAATCAGAGTCCTGTGCTAGGTAACACTTAAATCAACCTGCTGTTAAGGAAATGTCAAGGAAACTTCTGCTTGTCCATTACCTTTTTTTATTTTTATTTTTTTGGCTGGATTACTTCAGTTTATGCAGGCCTGTTGAGAGTAAAAATACCAAAATAAAAACAAACTCAAGCCGAAACCAGTTGGTTCAGTGGATAGAGCGTCGGTCTGTGGACTGAAAGGTCCCAGGTTTGATTCCGGTCAAGGGCATGTACCTTGGTTGCGGGCATATCCCCCTGCAAGAGGCAGCTGATCAATGATTCTCTCTCATCAGTATTTCTAACTCTATCCCTGTCTCTTCCTCTCTGTAAAAACATCAATAAAAATATATATAAAAAATTATTTTAAAAAAATCTTCACATTGCACTTACAACTCACATTCTGTTTGTTTGTGTGTGTGTGTGTGTCCAGTGTCTACTTAATCCGTTATCAACTGTTTTCCACAGGCAGTTGACTAAGGGTTGATTCGGCCCAGTGTCCCCGGGGCCGATGGTGGCCTGAACTTGACACTGAGAACTTCCGCCTGGGGCTGTGGAGGAAGTAGGTCTAGCTGACGATGTCAGGCGCTGTTATTTCATTTTGAAATTCTATAGAAAGAGCACAACAATAAAGCATCGGTTCCGCATTTAAATAAATACAGGGCTGTTTTGCTGCCATTTTTCCTTCCAATGACTGATCCGATCGCACACGTCTGTTTCAAAACGCCTGACGTGGGCCCTTACACAATGATAGACAGCCATGGAAGAGATGATGATAGTCGGGAGCGAGACAATGAGGCATTGTTTACACAGAAGACGGAGACACTAGTTCCACAAAAGACACTCCCGTCGGTAGCTATTGTGTGGACCACGGAGAGATGTGCTGCAGTTTTTATAATTTCTGCAGGACCCTTAGCCAGCCAGCGTCCTTAACTGAAAGTAAATCCAATCGTGCAGGGATCAGGCTGGGCCGAAAGCAAACCCGGGGAAGATCGGAGACGAAGAGACACAGACATGGGGGAGGAGGAGATGATAAGGGTTAGAATCTTTGGTGTTTCATAAACATTTTGTTGGAAGATTATTAAATGGCAGCCCAGAGAGGGAGGAGGGGGGGAAAAAAACAACACCATGGTCAAACTTACTGTGAAATCAGATCTTCCCCCTCCCATTTCCTTTACAATATATATTACATATACATAGATAGAACAGTACAATACAAAGGAGGTGTCGACAAGATGCAATCTTGAGACAACGGACATGTCACTTGAAAAGAAACTTTCATATTTCATATCATACATATGCACAACATTGGAACTGTGACGTGGGGGTGGGTTTCTGTGAAATGGCAGGGTCTGCAGGGATCAAAGGAAGGAAGTGGTATTTTTCTAGGGAAAGGGCTGAGAGATACATTTTTCTGGCGGGCAGCTTATTGTACCCATAGGAGGGACAAAAGATCAAGTGGAGCTGCTAAAATATTTCCACTTTCTGCTCAAAAAATGTGGGCCAATGAGGCGATGATGACCACCAGGAAAGCAGCCACATGTACTCATCCCTGGCTCCCCGGCTGGCCTTGACCTAAGTACTCTCAGAATTCATTCATTCACTCATTCATTCATTCATTCATTCCCTCCCCTTTCCTGGCCATTTCCGTTTGGAAAGAAGCACAAAGCCTGACTGGAAGAGACAGTGCTTTAAGACACCTCGACACCCTTCGCTCTGGGGCGGTGTGTTCCCTCTGGACCCTCCCGGCACCCACTGCCAGCAACAGGCCGTGACGCAGAAGGACGTGACCGGGATTCCACGTACAGATCTTCAGGAGTCACGGCTGAACGGTTCCCGAATAACAATCGGGGCTAATCCTGGTCGTTATTGAAAAATCTGTTGTTGATAAGATGCAATCGTTGGGTGGATGATGTCTTATCCAAGACTTGTTAGCTCCGGGGAGAGGGGGTGAGAAGAGAGAAAAACCACCACCAGGGACTCACAGGAGCAGCCATCAGAAAGGAGCATTGGGGTGGGGCGTGGAAACAAGGGAATCTTCAGGAGAACTGGCCGCTGGCGGTGTGGACACAAGTTCAAAGTCCTGTCACAGCACGCCAGGGGTCCCTGGCTGTTCTCTCCTCTCTGAGACGACGGGGAGGTACGTCTTGTGGTCTCCAGATGGCCTCCTTCTGCTGGGCCAGCCCGCTAGGCCTCTAGGCCATCCGTGCATGTGTGTGTTCCCGTGTGCGTGTTCCCATGTGCATGTGTGAGCTTGAAGAAGGAGGGGGATGACATACCGGGTGCCACACCACACACGTGTCCAGACCCTGGAGCCGCCGAGAGAGCCCTAAGGTGGGTCCGATGGCCCAAACCTGGACAGGGACGCTGGGCCCCGGGTGGCGAGTGTCTGTCTGTCTGTCCTAGGGCACACTGCGCTTCTTGCGAAGGGGGCTCTGGCCTCCGCTGGGCCGCAGCTCGGCGAACTGCACCTGTGAAAACACAGGGACGTGACGCGGGCGGCCGGGTAACCCTAGCCCGCCGCCCCGCCTGTTAATGGCTCCCCGGGGGGCGCACCGAGGCCGAGGAAGGAAGGTTCAAAGGTAATGAATCATTTTCCAAACACAGGAACGCGGGGGGATCCGTTACAGGAAGGATCGGGGGAGGCACATGCATCGCTTCTGGAAACCAAAATATTAGAAGCAGATTTTTTTTTCTTCTTTCCCTTTTTCTCTCTAATGAGATGCGTGGGGGTTCCTCTACCTGGCCCGGGCGCTGCTGGGGGATTTGAGGTGTGTGTGTGTGTGTGTGTGTGTGTGTGTGTGTGTGTGTGGTGTGTGTGTGTGTGTGTGACCTTTATGGCGAGCTTCATCACAGCCCTGTGGGAATGTCTACGGTAAGTATATGATACAGCGACTTACTAAGAGTTATTCGTTTAAGAAGTTCTAAAATCTTGGGATGGCGGGAGGGGGGAGAGAAATCTCTGCAAATGATATGCCATTTGTTTTGCCAGAGAGGGAAATCATGTGGACACTGATCCTGGCCCCAGGCTTCTATAGATTCCTCTTAAGAATGAATCTCATTTCCAATGGGATGGCTGAAACATCTGAGATAACTAGGTCGACGGGGGAGGGGGGAAGGGGGTGGGCGTGGGGAGTCCCAGTGGCAAACTGTCTGTTTGTGTTAGTAGAACCCCGAGGATCTTACTGGTGAACTCAATCTCCTGGGGAGAGTCTCTGGCTGTGTTCCTGTGTATTCCAATTGGATGCACGCTCCGAGGGGCCGCTGTGGGCACAGACATAACCCCTGGCCAGGCTCAAGGGCACCTGGCATTCTCCAACGATGCGGGCCAGCCCTCCCACTGCCACTCCAGTGCCCTAACCCTCCCACTGCCACTCCAGGGCAACACCATTGCTTTCGTGTGAGCCTGCCCAGGCTGACGGCGGAATGGCTTTATGTAAAGGCATGCATGGCAGACCACCTGTGCCCACCACTTGGCGCATCTGTGCCAAACTCTCCAAGGGCGTCAGGACCCTGAGCTGCAGTTGGCCAAGAGCAGATGCGTGAACTAAGAATAAAGCTCTGTTTCCTCACAGGGAATGTGAGGGTGCCTGGGGGATGGGGCAGGGGACATACCTGTGATCTTCAGTGCAAACCAAGCAAGGGCCAGGTGACTATTTTTTTTTTCATTGATTTTTTTTTTTTTACAGAGAGGAAGGGAGAGGGATAGAGAGTTAGAAACATCAGTGAGAGAGAAACATCGATCAGCCGCCTCCTGCACACTCCCTACTGGGGATGTGCCCGCAACCAAGGTACATGCCCTTGATCGGAATCGAACAGTCCCGCAGGCCGATGCTCTATCCACTGAGCCACACCGGTCAGGGCCCAGGTGACTATTTTATAATCGTGCAATGCAGATGTCAATGCGTCAAAATTCACATTTTGTGGAATACATTTTTTTAAATGTATTTTTATTGATTGCAGAGAGCAAGAGAGAGAGGGAAGAGAGAGATAGAAACATCAGTGATGAGAGAGAAATCATTGACCAACTGCCTCCTGCACACCCCGGACTGTGAATCGAACCCACCACACCTGGGCATGTATGTGCCCTTGGCTGGGAATCGAACCAGTGACCTTTCGGTTCCTGGGCTGACGCTCAAGGGCTGGGTCACACCAGGCCGGGCTGTCGAATACATTTTAACAGAGAACTGTGTCAACATGGACGCTGAAGGGACAGAACATCACAGGGTCTATTTTAATCTCCAGGATTTGGCGCGAAGGGGAGAGAAATCCTAGGGCTTTCCAGCCCTGCCATCCTGAGAGCCACCCGGTGTTCCAAGCACCGCTGTGTCACAGCGGCACAAAGTGAAAATCGATGCCAGCTTTGGGATTCTCTCGGACGATAACGTACTGGGTCTTTTTGGCCACATTTCACGCCACTGGCCTCCCACCTACCGATTCTATGATCCCTAATTCTCTGTTACAGAGGCTGCTGCCCGCCCCCCCGACCCCGGGCTGACATCAGCCTGTTGGTTGGGGACCCAGCTCGGGCCACTGGAGGGGACTCGCTCATCTTGTCGCCTCGGCTAATCTCTCTGTCTCCACAGAAACCGGACGCCGCCGGACTAAGCGGCCATCCCCTGTGAGTAATACTTCTGATTGATCTCCGATCGCTTCCCGCCGCCTCTACGTGCACTGGAGGAAGTGGGGGCGCTGCCCTCGGCAGCCCTAAATCTTTAGAGGGGACGAGATACCAGGAGATCATCAGAGCCAACGAGAATGAAGAGAATAGCGGAAACCGGTTTGGCTCAGTGGATAGAGCGTCGGTCTGCGGACTGAAAGGTCCCGGGTTCGATTCCGGTCAGGGGCATGTACGTTGGTTGCGGGCACATCCCCTGTGGGGGGTGTGCAGGAGGCAGCTGGTCGATGTTTCTCTCTCATTGACATTTCTAGCTTTCTATCTCTCTCCCTTCCTCTCTGTAAAAAGTCAATAAACTATATATATTAAAAAAAAAAAAAAAAAAAGAGAGAGAGAAAGAATAATCCTCCTATGCCCTACTTCCTAAGTCACTCTTTTTCAGGATAATTTCCCCCAGTTATTTCATGCTTTGGGGGTTCGAGGTTTCCTGGTCTCCTCCCTGCAAGCCGGGCCTCTGAAGGGTTTTTCTGCTGCGTTATCTCTATTATTCACACACTGGCACAGCCTCAGGCCCCGGGACCGGCCAGGCTCCCGTGTAGGGGAGGAGGGGAAGAGGGAAGGGGGCGCCCCCCAGTGGTGGTGACCCGTTCCTGCATTTAGTTACCTTTTGGACATCCGATGGCACCCGGGAGAGGAAGTCCAGGAGCTCATTGTTGTCGATGGCATAGGGGTTTCGGAATTTCTTTGTGAATTTGTTGATGCCTGGAAAACAGTAGAAACACAGGGGAGATCTCGTAGTGTCTGTCTGTCTGTCTGTCTTCTTTTTTTTTTTAGAGAGAGAGAAAGGAAGAGAGACTTAGAAACATCGATGAGAGAGAACCATCGATCAGCTGCCTCTTGCACACCCCCTACTGGGGATGTGCCTGCAACCAAGGTCCATGCCCTTGGCTGGAATCGAACCTGGGACCTTTCAGTCCGCAGGCTGAGGCTCTATCCACTGAGCCAAAACCGGTTTCGGCTGCCTGTCTGTCTGTCTGTCTGTCTGTCTTTACATCTCACCCGGCTGAGCGAGAAGGGGCGTTCACAAGTAAGAAATTAGTGCGAAAACCATCACTGCCCCCCCACCCCCACCCAGCCAACCATGCCCATGAGGCTGTCCTGGGGAATCATTCACAAATGCCTCTTCTGGCGGGAAGGAGGGAGGGGTGGCATGCGAGGGCCCCCGCCTCCTGGGGCTGTGACAATCCCATTACAATCCCAGCAGCAGCGAGGTGCCAGGGACACCCAGGAAAACCGGGGAGCGCACTGGCGTTTGGGGGCGACACTGATTCACAGCCTCCTGTGCCAGGCAAACGCATGGCCCGGGCGGGCACAGACCTTCATCAGCCCGAACAAGTCACAGCTTGGGGGCCGCAGAGCCGGGGGGAGGTGCGGGGCCTGGGTTGTGCTGTGTGTTTTTTGTGGAGTTTTTTTTTTTTTTTTGGTGTTGTTAAAAAGAAGCTGCTGAAATCTACCCCCACCCCCCTCCCTCCTCCAGCTCATTTTCACAGGTTTCGCTTCTCTCCCTGCAAGAACAAAACTCGACATGTTGACTGTACTTCGAGGCGGCGGGAAACTGTGAAAAGTTATTATTGGAAAATTATCTTCCTAGGGCTGGCTAACTTAATTTGCAGGAGGCAGTCCAGGGGGGAGGGGAGGGGGTGCGGGCTGGTCTAGGCAATGCAGTCTGAGCTCATTGCAGCCGGGGACCGACCGTGATGACAGCCGAAGCCGGTGTGGCTCAGTGGATAGAGCATCGGCCTTCAGACTGAAAGGTCCCTAACCGCCTTTTGTCTCCCACACTGCTCCTCGCCTGTACCCACGACTCAGGAGCTGTGTTCTGTTCGGCAAATGCCAGCCCTTTTCTCACGATGAGTGTGAGAGGGTGAAATGTGAAGGTGGCTTTAAGCTTTGCCATGGAGAGCCCAGCAGCACGGGTCAGAGCGAGAGGCCTTGCTAATTTGAGGGGATGCTGAGTGGATTCTCGCCCCTGAGGTGTCTACCTTGCCTGGGCTCCTGTTCCCCAGCCCAGGCAACATTTCATTGTATTTTTTTGTTGTTGTTGTTCGTTTTTTTACTTTTTATTGATTTCAGACAGAAAGGGAGAGGTAAAGAGAGAGAGAAACATCCATGATAAGAGAGAATCACTGATTGGCTGCCTCCTGCACGCCCCCTACTGGGCATAGAGCCTGCAACCCGGGCATGGGCCCTGGCAGGGAATCGAACTGTGCCCTCCTGGCGCTCACCACTGAGCAACACTGGCCGGGCATGTTTAACTGTTTAATGATCCCTAATACACATACACGGTTGGATGTCCCTCTAATTTCATTAGTAACCACGACTTGACTTTCATTTAAGGGGCGAGACTTCCTGGATGGCCCTGTACCTGACAGGAAGCCAATGTCCAGGCCATTTCCTTGTGGAGGGTCAGGCGTACACCTGCTTTGCAAATGGCGGCCAGGGTGCATAGAAGTGGTTGCACATGATCCCTTTGCTCCCAAGTCAGAGCCGCGCTGTCTTTCTCCCCTCTCTACCCCCACAGCCAGCTTTGTGTTTCTATCTTAAACTCTCAACCCTCCCTCCCTCCCTGCACCCCTCCCCTCCCCGTGTCCCTTTAAACTAAAATACACTCGCTGTGTTCTAAAGGCGTTAATTTACAGCGCGGGCTCTCTGGCGAAACGGCACAGGCAGAGACGCACCGAGAAAGGACGTAGTGTCTATTGTTAATTATATAGAGAGTGCGCATCTGGAGTCTTCACAATGCACAGCCAGGCAGGGATAATATCCGGGCCGATCAAAACACCACATCCTTAGTTACTGAGAAGATTATAAACCTGCACAGTCGCTCCAGTGCGCCAGAGCGCAGGCCTCGCCCACAATGCACTGAGTCTGGGTGAAAAACTTAAGACTAGAAAGTCATAAGGCACTCAGATTGCAAGCTTCAAAAGCACGCCTTTTCAAAAGCATATATATATATATATATTGAATATATATATATTGGTTTCAGAGAGGGAGGGAGAGAGAGAAACATCAGTGATGAGAGAGAATCATGGATCGGCTGCCTCCTGCATGCCCCTGACTGGGAATCGAGCCTGCGACCCGGACATGTGCCCTGACTGGGAATCGAACCGTGACCTCCTGGTTCCTAGGTCAATGCTCAAACCCTGAGCCACGCCAGCCGAGCCTGTCTGAGCCTCTTAATATGTGAAGATCCCAATAGTGACGACAGTGGGAAACACCACAGCAATCATAGGTGTCAAGTAACGGAAAACCAGCCCTGACACGGACTCCTGTGGGGAAAGCCGAGTGGCTTCTCCCACTTTAATTTCACCCACAGCCCACCATCGCCCGCTATTCACCACGCGACTCCTATTTTATCCGACCACTGGCGGGGGTAGTAAATGAAGTCATGCCGTCCACTTCCGGTTTGCCATTTCCGTCTCTGCTTTTTGAAAACCCGCTAACCTGTATATGGGAGCACCATTTCCCCTGGTACACATTATAGCTTCCTCTCCTTTCTGGTGCTGGTTAGGTCATCACCGAGGGCCCCGCATTCACCCTCTCCCCCTCTGCTTCTGGGTTGAAGTACTGGATGGGGTTGGGCTAGGTTTTCCTGAAGGAGGGGACGGCGTGTCAGGAGCAACCTGGCTGCTCTCACATATTGCGAAGGGCACGGTGCAGGTGTGCGCTCTCTGCTTGAATAAACGGCGCAGACGGAAGGCCGCCTGACCGCAGCCGTATATTATTCCAGGGGATTTACGGCTGCGAAGGCCGAAGGGAAATCACACCCGCGATCCCATTTTTTTAATCGGTCACACGCCTTGAAGGAGCGACGCTGACCATGCATGCCATCGGGCCTTTGCAGGGAGGTCCCGCATTCCTGGCTGCCCAGGTGTTTTCTTCAAGCTCGTGTTTCACTGCCTGCCGGCAGGAGCACGCTGGAAGTTCACAGTCACACTTTAGGAGTGAAGACTTGGCCCTGGCCAGTGTGGCTCAGTGGATAGAGCATCGGCCTGTGGACTGAAGGGCCCCGGGTTCGATTCCGGTCAAGGGCATGGACCTTGGTTGCAGACTCGGTTTCTGGTGGAGGGCATGCAGGAGGGAGCCAATCAATGACTCCCTCTCATCATTGATGTTTCTCTCTCTCTCTGCCTCTCCCTTCCTCTCTGAAATCAATCAATCAATCAATCAATCTATATATATATATATATATATATATATATATATATATATATATATATGTTTTAAATAAAGAGTCGTTGGTTCTTACCTGGAATGGACTGCCAGCAAAAGGACCGTGGCCAAACTTACCCCAGATTAAAACGATGTAGCGGAACGGGACGAAGTACAAGGTGATGGTGGCGGCCGCCAGTATCAGACAGGCCAGGAAGGAGAGGAACGGGACCGTCCAGTTAAACGTGCTGCAGGCAAACCACAGAAACGTCACTTTCTCTGGCGCCGGACCGGCTCCATGCATCCATTTGCTCAGGTTTGCGTCTTAGCGATACAAGCGGAAACGGCCTACTGGGAAAGTGTCTTTGAAAACCTGGAGATGGACGTCTGCCGGAACGCCTGGGCACCAGAACAACCTTCTTCAGGAGAAGGTCAGCAGAGCAATGGCCACTGAGCCTCTTCCCGAACCAACAGTTCCAAAGAGAAGGCTTGGCTCTCAAATGTGATTAAAGACGGCAATATTGTCTGGCCAGCGTGATTCAGTGGATGAACATTGATCAACGAACCAGGAGGTCACGGTTCGATTCCCGGTCAGGGCACACGCCCGGGTTGTGGGCTCCATCCCCAGTAGGGGGCGTGCAGGAGGCAGCCGATCCATGATTCTCTCTCGTCATTGATGGTTCTCTTTTTTTCTCTCTCTCTCCTTTTCCCTTCCTCTCTGAAATCAATCCTATATAATAAAAGCCCAATATGCAAATGGACCTAATGGCAGAATGAGCAGTTGCTATGATGCACACTGACCACAGGGGGCAGGTGTTCAATGCAGGAGCTTCCCCGAGCCCGCAGGCCCCAGGCCAGTCAAGGTGGGTGCCAGCAGGGGGGTCCTCCCCTCCATCACCCCACTGGTGCCCCAATGATCATCCCTGATCACCAGCCAGGCCTCGGGACCCTACCCATGCACAAATTTCATGCATCCGACCTCTAATAAAAATATATTTAAAAAAAAAAATACAGACCATTTCAAGTACAGTAAATGCAACCCTACTGGGGGAGCCTCACGCTTGGGGATTTATGTAAGTCTTTTATTTGCCGGTTGCCAATAGTTGGGTGGAAGTTTTCCATGGTCCTTAAGCACCAAATTACAACGGCATTTCAGCAGAGTTACACGGGACAGCCCCCTGGCTTGCCGAGCAGGGACATGAAGGTCACTGAGCTCATGAATGGCCAAAGGAATTAATCGGGGCCGAGCCTTCCTGTGTGGCAGCTGGGCGAAAACAGTGCCCTGTTCATGGCTGAAAATATGTCCCACACGTGGCCACCACAGCTGTGCTGGGGCAGCCAGCCCTCGGAAGCACTGGGGAGAGGGCAGAGCCTGTTTCAACTGCTCTGCCCTCTCCTCCCGTCAGACACATTTCCGTGGTCATTATCTGCCACACAACAGCCACGTTTGTCTGTGAGGGACGTCCGGGCACAGAGATGCTGTCACCCAAGTCATCGCCTTCCTTCCTCGGGCTTGCCCTCACTCCACAGCCTTGCATCCTCACTCAATTTCTGTTTAAAATACATTTTGATTGATTTCCGAGAGGAAGGGAGAGGGAGGAAGAGACAGAAACGTCAATCATGAGAGAGAATCATGGACCGGCTGCCTCCTGCATGCCCCCTAACTGGGGTGGAGACCACAACCCGAGCATGTGTCCTTGACTGGAATAGAACCTGGGACCCTTCAGTCTGTAGGCTGACGCTCTATCCACTGAACCACACTAGCAAGGGCTCAATTCCCTCCCCCCACCCCCATCATTGGCTTTTGCAAGCCACTCAAGTCCCTGAATGATCTGCCTCACCTCCAGGCATGCCAGGACCATGGTCTATGGCAGAACATGCTAACTCACCTACACGTCCCTGTACCTAGCACAGACTTGGGCTCTGAGCCTTGGCGCAATGGTTTGTACCTACTGATGGCCCCAATCAAGGGTTCTATGCCCAGCTCCCATTCCCAGAGAAGCTGACAATTTGCGGCAGTGGCAGAATTTCCCTCTATCTGTTTCTCTCATACATCTCTTTTTGGACTGGTCTGATCTCTTCCCTAACATCATGTGGTTCAGACAAAAAAAACAACAACACAAAAACTCCTTTAAAACCTATCTGTGTCCCTTTTTATTTGTGAACTAGAGGCCCGATGCGCGAAGATTCCTGCAAGAATGGGCCTTCCTACTCCTGGCTGCTGGCACTGGTTTTCCTCCGGCACCCAGGCCTTTGCTCCAGCCACGGCAGAGAAGCCAAGCCTCTTTAGTCTTCGCTCCAGGCCTGCGTATACAAATTAACCCACCATCTTTGTTGGGTTAATTAGCATACTCACTCCTGATTGGTTGGTGGGCGTCGTGACGGTATGGCCAATTTGCATCTTACTTTTATTAGTGTAGATATGATATCTTTTTTTTTTTTTTTTCTAATGCAGTTTATCACCCAATCTAGAGTCTTTTTTGAGAGTGAGCGAGACACTATCTGTAGTTAGGCTGGGCCATCTGGTCACCCCAGTTCTGAGGCATTGACCAACTGTGAGACTGACAAGGCCAAAGAGCAAACCAGCCAGAGTTCACAGGGCTTGCCTGATACCATGGCTTCCGTTTTGGGGGATCTGCATTTTCTGACTTCACACTCCCCACCCACACCCGCCCTTGCGGACGGCAGCTCTCATTCAAACGCCGTGATACCGAGGTAGGACTCACTTTTTAATTCTTTCTCCAAAGGAAGCTACTTCCTCCAAGATGTTCTGAACCGTGGATACGATATCCTGAACCATGTAGATCCTCTGGATGATGCCCTTCTTCTCAGATTCCTAAGAAACACAGAAACAAAACCGGGCTCAGTTAAGCTCTTGTTATTGTTCCAGTCTAGAAAGGAGTGTACTGTGTATAAAACAGCATGGTTATCATCCACAGAGAACCCCTAAGACATGCCACATTTCTCGCAACATACACTGAGAGTGGCCAGATTATGATGATCTCTCAACACATACCAATAATCTGGCCACTCCATGTATCTGTATCTCCAATGGGTACCAACAGCATTCTAGTCTTTTGCTGGAGATCAACAGCCTATTTGCCCTGAGCTTTCTATCAGCCAGTGCAAGGGGGAAAACGGATCAGGTGCGCGATTTATAGTATCTTTGATATCAAATAAATGAGGTGCTCAAGAGAAGTACACGAAGTGGCCAGATTGTGATGCATTCAGGGATCATCGTGATCTGGCCGGTCAGTGTATATTGTTATTGATTAACGCTGGTCTTGTGGTCCCCTCGCTCTGCGATCCAGGCAAGTACCTGACCCCTTTCGGAGTTGCAAATTCGTTATGGAGAAAAGGGAGATCATAAAGAGTCTTTGGAGAAGTAAACATCACATGGGCACTTGTTAAATTCTAGTCACTTCACACACCTAAGCCCATCCCCTTCAAGAATTCAAAGAGCCGGGCCGGTGTGGCTCAGTGGTTGAGCCTCGACCTATGAACCAGGAGGTCCCGGTTCGATTCCTGGTCAAGGCACATGCCTGGGGCCGTGGGCTCCATCCCCAGTAGGGGGCGTGCAGGAGGCAGCCGATCCGTGATTCTCTCTCATCATGGATGTTTCTCTCTCCCCGTCCCTGAAATCAACAAAATAGATTAAAAAAAAAAAACATAAAAAAGGATGCAAAGGAACAGAAGGCCGCATAAGCAACTTCTGGTCTAGTCAACACAGTCCAGGGGTTGATTCAAGTTTCAAGAGCCATGAGCTTGCGGGACAAGCCTACTCATGTTGCCCAGCGCTGCATGAGCTTATCTGCCAGCACTATCTGCTCCATGCTGGCTTTATTTACACGTTTCCGATGGATCCGGGGAATGTGGCGGTAACACCGTTTAGCAGACACAACATTCCACCGGCGGCTGCTCCCCGGTTCCCCAGGAGGCATCACAGCGATTCATTCAAAGGGACAGGCCCGCTGCCTCCCGCGCTGACGTTCTCCCGAACACGAGTGGCTTCCAATTATTCGAGGGAAATGAGGAATAGAAACGGTGATCGCCGCTGGTGCCACTCAACAAGCAAGCCAGGTCACAGCGGCGGACAATGTATTTTTTAGATTTTGAGGACGAGTGGATTTAAAAAAATTAAAAAAAAAAAAAAAAAAATGTGTATATATATATATATATATATATATATATATATATATATATATAAAACTGATTTTTTACAGAGAGGAAAGGAGAGGGACAGAAAGGCAGAAACATCGATGAGAGAGAAACATCGACAGCTGCCTTCTGCACACCCCCTACTGGGGATCGAACCCACAACCCGGGCATGCGCCCTGACGGGGAATGGAACTGTGGCCTCCTGGTTCACGGGTTGATGCTCAACCACTGAGCCACGCCGGCCGGGCTCACCTTTCTCTTCTGTTACCTAAGCGAAACCAGAGGCACAGTCCTGCGAGGTAACCACAGTGGGACAAAGCTTTGTGACATGCTGAGACCCTGAGCGGTATTTGTCCCAAAGCCATCCGTGTCACATTTCAACCTCACGTCCTTCCCAGAGGTTTCAGCCATCCAGAGCAAAGAGACTGCAAAAGGGAATATGTTTGGTCTGATTCCTCCCACTGACGAGGAAAAGCCTGCTGTTTGAAGACATGCAAACACGATCAACATCAGAAACAGAGTGAGTGGCATCAGCATAGAAAAAAAAAAACACAAAAAAACACACAAAACAAAACAAAACAAAAGCCTCTCTCAACATCTGTCAGAACAAGGAACAAGAAGCAGTATTTCCGATGCACAAGATTACAAACGGGCCTGCGGGAAGCCTGGCTTACCAAACTGGGAACTGCCTTCAGGGCTTCTGCCCACGAGATGTGTTGTGCGTGCATGGACACACACACACACAGACACACACACACACACAGACACATACACACACACACAGATGCACACACACACAGAGACACATACACACACACACAGATGCACACACACAGACACAGACACACAGACACACACACACAGACACAGACCCAGACACACACACGCAGACACAGACACACAAACATACACACACACAGACACAGACACACACAGAGACGCACACAGACACACACAAACATACACACAGAGAGATGCACACACACACAGACACACACACATAGACACATACACAAATACACACAGAGATGCACACATACAGACACACACACAGATACACACACACAGACACACACAAACATACACACACAGAGAGATGCACACTCACACACAGACACATACACACAGAGACACACACACACACTGACACACAGAGACACAGGCACACACAGAGACGCACACAGACATACACACACTGACACACTGACACACACACTGACACACACACACACACACACACACACACACACACTAGAGTGCACGAATTTTGTGCACCGGACCTCTAGCATTCTATAAAATCAGAGCCTCTGGCCGTATTCTGTTAGACCACCTGTGTCAAACACAAGGCCCGCGGGCCAAATCCGTCCCGCCAGGCCTTGCAATGTGGCCCGCACCGCGCTGTCATCACTGCACTCCGCTGCGTTTCCATCACAATGACAGTTTATGACTGTTCAGTAAACCATTCGGCCCGCGATTTAGGCTGGATTTTAGATTTTGGCCCCTTCTCTGATTGAGTTCGACACCCCTATGTTAGACAGTACACATTAGCTCACAGAAGGACAGATATTCCATCTAATTTATAGTCTGGGATATCGTAGTTCACAATATTTGGGAGTGACATACAAGTGTAATCCTTAGAGAAGAAATTTCTAAGCAAATCCACAAGCACTAGGGTTATTGAGCCTGGTAGTTAACTAGGATGAATGCTGCCTCGAAAGGTCAGATTATTAGCATTCCTGGATTCCTTCTCAAGGCAATGAGGCCAAACGCTCTTAAGGACGGAAAATGTGAGCTAGTTGGCATGTCGGGGGGGTGTGGGGTGTGTGGGAAGGCGGCAGGAAGTGAGGAAGCCAATCCCTTCTCATCGGAACATGCATAAACCCATCATTAAGATTTGGCTGGGATCCATTTTAATATTAAAGTCCCAGAGCTGAGATGGTACGGTGGGGACGCGAGCAATTAAATGACTTCATCACTAAAATTCATATTAAATCAAATTAAAAGCAGTTACATCACAATGGCCACTTATTTTATTCCCTGGAACTTATCCGTGAGCAGGTCCTCTATAACACTGCCCTGTATATCGTTCCCATCGGCTCTGAATATCGAAGGAAGATACTCAACGACTGTTCATCTTTCCAAGATATTCGTTGACTTTTTTATTTTTTATTTTTTTAAATATATTTTTATTGAGTTCAGAGAGGAATGGAGAGGGAGAGAGAGATAGAAACATCCATGATGAGAGAGAAAATCATGGATCGGTTGCCTCCTGCACACCCCCCTACTGGGGATTGAGCCCACAACACAGGCATGTGCCCTTGACTGGTGTGGCTCAGTGGATAGAGCGTCGGCCTGCAGACCAAAGGGTCCCAGGTTCGATTCCGATCAAGGGCATGTACCTTGGTTGCGGGCACATCCCCATTAGAGGGTATACAGGAGGCAGCTGATCGATGTTTCTCTCTCATCAGTGTTTTTAGCTATCTCTCTCTCTTCTCCTCTATAGAAAATTAATAATATATATATATATATATATATTTTTTTTTTTTTTTTAAATATCCTCGGGTGAGGATTAACAAAGAAAAGAAACGAAAGCAAAACTGTGGGAGTCTAATTGGGAGTCTAAGTCACCCCCGTGGCCTTCTGACAGTGACGAGGGAGCGGGAGGCTCACGGTGATGTCATGTGACAACAACCCCCGCGGCAGACAATCAAAGGCTGACGGAGCCCAGGCCGCGGCCTGGTCTGAGTGCGGGAGACAGGCGGGCCCTGGGGAAGCATCCGTCTCCCCAGAGAGCCGCACCCCGGGGGCCGGCGGGCTTTGATCTCCCCCGTTGTCCGCCGTGGTATGTGGTGGGAAGGGGTGCTGGCAATTAGGGGGTGTCACCTCCAAGACGGATCGCCTGGAGAGAGAGGAATTAATTCCCTTTCTCCTTCTGATCCGGGAGGAAACGGCCGAGTGTTTACAATTTGTAAACGGTTCCTGTCTCGCTGGGCGGGTTACACTTCCCAGAAGTGGGGTCTGTCATGTGTAACACGCAACAGGAGCGGGGAGGGCCGCGTGAGCGAGCCCTGGGATGCGGCCTGTGTGTGCGGCTCCGTGAGCACATGTCTGTCATACATGGAGAAGAGATAATCTATTGCAGTATGGGTGCGAATGGTGTGAGCTCTGGAGGTCTTCATGTTAAAATCCCCCCAGTTACAAATCTCTTAAAGAAGCGAGAGAGAGAGAGAGAGAGAAAGAGAGAGAGAGAGAGAGCGCGCGCGCGGCTCAGTGGTTGAGTGTCGACCTATGAACCAAGAGGTCACGGTTTGATTTCCGGTCAAGGGTACATGCCCAGGATCCCCAGTAGGGGGCGTGCAGGAGGGAGCCGATCCATGATTCTCTCTCATCATGGATGTTTCTGTCTCTCTATCCTTCTCCCTTCCCTCTCTCTCCAAAAATCAATAAAAACATGTTAATAAAAAAATAAAAAATAAAAGACTTGTTTCCTTTGGTGGGCCTTCCCAGCATGCACTTTGGCCTGGCTATCCCTACTTCTCAAGTTCAAGAAGCGATGTACCACAGAAGCCACACAACATCAATCCATCGTGAAGAAAGTTGCAGCTGTGTGACCTTTTTATTCTGAAAAAAATGGCAATCTACTTTAAAAAATATATATATATTTTACTACTGGATGTCATTATCTTTGCTATGAATGATCATTTTCACCTCACCAATAAGAGTGACTCTGGAATCCCTTTAACTCGCTACAAATGGGCAAAGCCATCTCTTGATTCATTTTAAGGCCCTTTGTGCCATGGAGCCAGTGTTTTTAAACCCATTTCTAGCTGAAACCGGTGTGGTTCAGTGGATAGAGCGTCGGCCTGCGGACTGAAAGGTCCCAGGTTCGATTCCAATCAAGGGCATGTACCTTGGTTGCGGGCGCATCCCCGGTGGGGGGTGTGCAAGAGGCAGCTGGTCGATGTTTCTCTCTCATCGATGTTTCTAACTCTCTATCCCTCTCTGTAAAAAAATCAATAAAATATATTTTTTTAAAAACATTTCTATTCCCTGGGCATTTTATATGGGATCCTAACTGTAAAGACTTCCCCCACCTTCTCCTTCCCCCTCCAGCATCCTAAAGGCTAAGCCAGGCATACCCCCATACCCACAGGTTCTGGGGACTGGCAGTCCATTAAGCTAGCAGCCTCGAATTTGGCATTTCGCTTTTTCTTTTTTTCCCTTCTTTCTTCATTCTATTCCAGAAGGTTTGTCTGCAAGCGTAATGACAACAGAAGCGGCGGCTCTGAGAAGCTCTCCCAGGAGAAGGGAGAGGACAGATGTAGGCAGACGGAGAGCCGAGCTCACTGCCAGCAGCAGCTGGGGAAGTGACAGGCTCTGACGTGGGTGGCCGCCCTGCGGCGTGCGGGCCGGAGACTGAAGGAGGAGCAATGTCACTCTGTTTGGGGGTGACTTCCCGGGCCACCCTCCCTCCGCCCACCTCCCAGACGCCAAGGAGAAGCGCACCTTCACCTGCAGCCAAGGACAGCCTGCCTATCGTTACGCTTTTTTATTTATTTTTAATATGTTTTTATTGATTTCAAAGAGGAAGAGAGAGAGAGATGGAAACATCCATGATGAGAGAGAAGCATGGATCGGCGGCCTCCTGCACGCCCCCTACTGGGGATGGAGCCTGCAACCCGGGCCTGTGCCCTGACTGGGAATCGAACCGCGACCTCCTGGTTCCTAGGGCGGGTGTTCGACCACTGAACCATGCTGGCTGGGCCTACAGCGAGGCTTTTTGTTCTATTTCAATGACTTCTTACATTTTGCCCCTTCCCATCCCCATTTTCACAAATGGATGAAAAGAAAAGAAGTAAATAGATACGTCTTAGTAAGGGATACCCTTTGTAAAGGGTAAGAATATTTAATATGATGGCTACTCTATAGAACAAAAATTAAATAAATAAAAAAAAGCGTTTGACACAACCTGGAAGGAAGCTGTCTGCTGAAAACGTGAAAGTCCCGCCCTGGCCAGTGTGGCTCAGTGGATAGAGTGCCGGCCCTCGGACTGAAGGGTCCCAGGTTTGATTCCGGTCGAGGGCATGAACCTCGGTTCCAGGTTCTCTGGCCCGGGGCCGGGTGGGTGCAGGAAGGAGGCAACCAATCGCTGGGTCCCTCTCACATCGATGTTTCTCTCTGTCTCTCCCCCTCCCTTCCACTCTCTCTAAAAGCCAGTGGGGAAATATCCTCGGATAAGGATGAACAAAACACAAACAAAACAAAGGAATGCTCCCTCCTTGTCTACTCACCTTGTCATCTTCGTCCTCCTCCTCCTCGACTTCCGTGCTCTCCTGAAAGGAAGCCCAACAATATGTTAATAAAATATCGGCAGAAATGACCAAAGGCAAACTAAACTCATTCACATGAAAGAAAAAAACGTCTACAGCCTGAGCCGGTGTGGCTCAGTGGATAGCGTGCCGGCCTGCGGAATGAAAGGTCCCGGGTTCGTTCCAGTCAGGGCGCACAGGCCCGAGTTGCAGGCTCCATCCCCAGTAAGGGGGGTGCAGGAAGCAGCTGATCCATGATTCTCTCATCATTGATGTTTCTCTCTCTCTCTCTCTCTCCCTCTTCCTTCCTCTCTGAAATCAATCAAAAAAAAAAAAAAAAAAAGAAGAAAAATGTCTACAGTGCTAGCCAGTATGGCTCAGTGGATAGAGCACCAGCCTGCAGACCAAAGGGTCCCGGGTTCGATTCCGGTCAAGGGCATACACCTCCGTTGCTGGCTCCTCCCCGGCCAGGGACCCTAGTCAGGGCGGGGTATACAGGAGGCAACCCATCTATGTGTGTCTTTCACAACGACCTTTCCCTCTGTCTCTCCCTCTCTCTTCATGGATGCTTCTATCTCTCTTTCCCTCTCCCTTTCTCTTGGAAATCAATAAAAAACTTTAAAAAAAATATATATATATATATATATATATATATATATATATATATATATATATATATTTTTAATTTTATTTTTTTTTTAAAGATCTAGCTAAAACCGGTTTGGCTCAGTGGATAGAGCATCGGCCTGCGGACTGAAAGGCCCCAGGTTCGATTCCAGTGAAGGGCATGTACCTTGGTTGCGGGCACATCTCCAGTGGGGGGTGTGCAGGAGGCAGCTGATGGATGTTTCTCTCACATCGATGTTTCTAACTCTCCATCCCTCTCTTCCTCTCTGTAAAAAATCAATAACAGATAGATAGATAGATAGATAGATAGATAGATAGACAGATTTTTTTAATATACTACTAGAACATGGACATATGCACAAGGTGGATCCTTCAGGACCAAACTAAATGGACCTGGGCCAGGCTTCAGTAGTGCCCCTGGCTTCTCCTGGGACCCCGGGTCACCTGGCAGTCCTGGGTGCCGCTCCCCTTTCCTTTCACGGGTTCGAGGAAGTTGTAGGCGAAGAGCAGCAGCAGCGCCAGGGGGACCATGTACAGCTCGAAGTTCCACACGGCGACCACGAACACCTGGGGGAAGGCAAGAGCAGGTCACGGCCCGAGAACACGGAATGGGAACGATCCTCAATGCCCACTCCGTGGCCTCGGAAATTAAATCCAGACTCTCACTGCAGCAGCTTTTAGAAACGGTACAAACAGCCGAAACCAGTGTGGCTCAGTGGATAGAGCGCCGGCCTGCGGGCTGAAGGGTCCCAGGTTCGATTCCGGTCAAGGGCATGTACCCTGGTTGCAGGCTCAATCCCGGGCCCTGGTTGGGGCAGGTGCGGAAGGCAACCAATTTGTATGTCTCTCTCACATTGATGTTTCTCTCTCTTTCCTCCTCCTCCTCCTCCTCCTCCTCCTCCTCCTCCTCCTCCTCCTCCTCCTTTTTCCCCTCCTCCTCCTCCTCCCTTCTACTCTCTAAAAATCAATGGAAAAATATATTTTAGTGAAGATTAACAAATATACATTTGTTAATATATATATATATATATATATATATATAGAGAGAGAGAGAGAGAGAGAGAGAGAGAGAGAGAGAGGGAGATATAGATCAACTATTGGTTCTTTCCCTCCTAAAATGGTCATAATTTCCAGCTGTGAGAATCAGACAATAAATTTCTCATTATGTGTTATTTTTTGTTGTTGTTGTTGTTTGTTTGTTTTGCAGACACTGGCAATGGAGCAGTTGAAAGTCTGATTTGGGCAAATACATCGTCCAAAGCCATGAGCAAATTCTCTACTTGGATTAAAGGGAGGGAGAAAAGAACCCTCACACAGTTTTTCCCCAGAAAGCTGGGTGTCTTGAAGAGGTCAAGCCGAAAAAAAAAAAAAAAATTCCATTAAATGTACCAGGAAGCGTCTCACTCATTTCCGAAGCAGAACTGTGGGCACGCTCCCTGTTAGAAGAACAATAGGGCTCTGATTGTCCGCTAAGTGGACAGAGTGTTCTAGAAAAGAGTTCTCTGGGGCCCTAGCTGGTGTGGCTCAGTGGATAGAGCGTCAGCCTGCAGACTGAAGGGTCCCAGGTTCAATTCCAGTCAAGGGCTCATACCCAGGTTGCAGGCTCGAACCCCAGGAGAGGTATGCAGAAGGTAGATCAATGATTCTCTCATCATTGATGTTTCTCTCTCTCTCTCTCTCTCTCTCTCTCTCTCTCTCTCTCTCTCTGTCTCTCTCTCTCCTTTCTTCTCTGAAATCAATAAAAAATTTTTTATTGTATCCTCTGACTTTGGGCTGCAATTACAAATAAAAGCTTTAACTTAACACGTTAGGCTTTACTCCTTCGTGTCTGTAGAAAGACTGGATCAGAATGAATACCGCAAAAAAAAAAAAAAAAAAAAATGCTATGGTGCCCTAGCCATTTTGGCTCAGTGGTTAGAACACTGGCCTGCAGAATGAAGGGTCCCGGGTTCGATTCCTGCCAAGGGCACATGCCTGGGTCTCGGGCTCAATCCCCAGTGGGGAGCGTGCAGAAGGCAGCCGATCCATGATTCTCTCTCATCATTGAAGCCTCTCTCCCTTCCTCTCTGAAATCAATAAGGGGTGGACAGAGGGTTCTAGAAAAGTGTTCTCTGACTCTAGCTGGTTTGGCTCAGTGGACAGAACGTCAGCCTGCAGACTAAAGAGCGTTGGCCTGTGAGCTGAAGTGTCCCGGGTTTGATTCCTGTCAAGGGCATGGACCTTAGCTGCGGACACATCCCCAGTAGCAGGTATGCATGCGGCAATGGATTGATGTTTCTAACTCTCTATCCCTCTCCCTTTCTCTCTGTAAAAACATATAGATAGATAGATAGATAGATAAATAGATAGATAGATAGATGATAGATAGATAGATAGATATAGATAGATAGATAGTTCAAATGCAAACCCAGAAACTCCCCGTTCCAGTTTTGGCCAGTTCTGTTCAAAAATATCTATTGCACCATGAAGATAAATGGGCAATGGAAACACATGTGAAAATAACCACTGCTAAAAGGTACTCCCCGAAACAATGATGTGTCTAAACTGTAAACCCCCGGAAAAGGAGAGTTTGATGACAGGCAGAGCAGAGAGTCTTGCTCCACTCTCTTTTCCCTGGGAGCTGATCCACGCAAGCACGGAGTGGGAATCTTGGCAAAGGCCCTTGGAAAAGCAGGAGGCAGGTGTTCAGGTAACCGCGGAGCCAGGGAACGGGTTATTTTAATAAAGCTATTCGACGTGCAGCCCCCGAATCCGGAGGGGCGACCAGGCTGGGGCCAGTCGAAGCGATCGCCACCTGTTAGCCCTGAGAAATCAATTAAAGTCCCACGTCCAGCCAATAACACGTGGCTTCGACCTGAGACATGTGGGTGGGTCAGAAGAAATCCACAGGAAAACCTATACTCCTTGCTGACACCCGTGTGGCTCAATGGATAGAGCGTCAGCCTGCAGACTGAAAGGTCCCGGGTTCGATTCTGGTCAAGGGCATGTACCTTGGTTGCGGGCACATCCCCAAGTGGGAGATGTGCAGGAGGCACCAGATGGATGATTCTCTCTCATCAATGTTTCTAGCTCTCTATCCCTCTCTCTTCCTCTCTGTAAAAAAATCAATAAAATATGTTTTTAAAAAAATAAAAAAAAGAAATTTGGGGTGGGGAGGGAAAAGGAGACAAAAAGAGAGAGGAAAAGAGAGAGACATTCCTGCTGCTCTCCATCCATCGCATCCTGGGGATCCTGTTTCCTTTTGGCGAATTCCAAAAATTTCTCCAAAAGCTCTCTCTCTTTTATTTTTCCCCCCACCCCTCCTTCAGTGCGCAGTGCTGGGCCCCGTCTTTCTGTGCGAGAGGAGAGATCTGACTTTGCGAGTTGAAAGTGAGGGCAGGGGAGCCATCCCGAGTGTTTTAGTAATTAAACGAATATGCATAATGAACCATATGCCCAAAGGGCCTGTGCTTCGTGTGGGCCAGATTTTTGTTTGAATTTTTAATTTTTATATACAGATGAGACAGCCCGCCTCGGCGCCCAGCGGTGGGAGGGGTCAGGCAAGCGGAAACAGAGAGAGGGGACAGCGCACTCAGGGGCCGGAACAGGAGACACGAGAGAAATTCGCTTCTGGAGATGGGGGTTCAGATGGGTCCCTCCTCCCCGCCAGCCCCCCCCCCCCTTTCCCACCCGCTCTAGCAATTGTCATCTGCTCAGGGCTGCAGGAGACTTGTATAATGAATACACTGACAGCTCTGTACAGTTTGAGTAAAATGCAGTGGCACCAGCTGAAAAGTGTGAAAATCCCATGGGGCAAAGGAAAAAAAATTTTTTAAATATATTTTTATTGATTTCAGAGAGGGAGAGGGAGAGACAGAAACATCAATGATGAGACAGAATCATCTTTTGGCTGCCTCCTGCACGCCCCCTATTGGGGATGGAGCCTGCAACCCAGGCATGTGTCCTGACCGGGAATCGAACCCTGATCTCCTGGTTCATAGATGGATGCTCAACCACTGAGCCACACCAGCCGAGCAAGGATTTGTTCTTTTTTAAAAAAATCCTTCTACACCCATCATTCTGACTACCATCTTTAAATATATATATATATATATATATATATATATATATATATATATATATATTATTGATTTTTTACAAAAAGAAAGGAAGAGGGATAGAGAGCTAGAAATATTGATGAGAGAGAAACATCCATCAGCTGCCTCTTGCACACCTCCCACTGGGGATGTGCCCACAACCAAGATACAAGCCCTTGACTGGAATCGAACCTGAGACTTTTCAGTCCGCAGGCCGACACTCTATCCACTGAGCCATACAGGTCAGGGCCGAGGAAACGTTTGAAGTTCACTCTTCCCTAAGTCTTTAACCAAAATAACGGAAATGCGAAAGGCCGCATTTGGGCGTGAGGGCGTTGAGACCAGACTATGAAAACAGGCCCGATGGAGAATCATCGGGAAGCCTCGGACTGTGTGCAGCCTCCCCTTCCGAACATAGATACACCCTGGTTCCCACAACGTAAACATGGGATGGAATGCACACAGCACGTCGCCATGGAGCCATAAATAACGCCTCCGCCCGCCTCCCCATCCATTCCGTGCTGACGCCTCTGATCCCGGCTGGGAGTCCTGATCTAACGGTCTCCCTGGCCAGACAGATGAACTCCCAGGGCAGGCAGAAGACCAACACTGACAAGGAGCCGTCACCTTCTCGGCTTTTAAATCCTTTAAGGAAGCACGGAAGCAATCAGAGAGAGGGGGGTAGTCTTTGCTGAGTGCATTAACTCGCTCAGACCTCCCAGACCATAGATCAGGCCTCGGACAGACACATAATGCTTCCCTCAGGCTTTCCAGCCCGGGCCTTGGATCTCTTCTTCACGGGTGTGTTGCAGTAGGTGTCATCTAAGGAGGAGGCATCATCATTCGTAGGCACTGCTGGCCACTAGCTCTGGGGCTGGACTGCAATCGAGAAAAAGCAGGAAGCCCTGGCTGGTGTGGGTCAGTGGATAGGGCGTCAGCCTGGGCACTTGAGGGTCCAGGGTTCCATACTGGACAAGGGCACAGGCCCGGGTTGCAGGCTTGATTCCCCAGTAGGGGGCGTGCAGGAGGCAGCCGATCAATGATTCTCATCATTGATGTTTCTCTCTCTCTCCCTCTCCCTTCCTCTCTAAAATTAATAAAATATGTTCCAAAAAAGAAAAAGCAGGAAAATCAGCATAATCCTCAGCAGTGTTTCTTGTATTTTTAAGATGAGGATGAAACTTCTGAGCCATAGTCTTTCACAACTGCCTTAAAATATATATATATGTGTGTGTGTGTGTGTGTGTGTGTGTGTGTGTGTGTGTATATATATATATATATATATATATATATATATATTTTTTTTTTTTTTTTCCCCCCAGAGAGGAAGGGAGAGATAGAAATATCAAAGATGAGAATCATTGATCAGCACGCCCCCTACTGGTGATTGAGCCCGAAACCTGGGCACGTGCCCTTGACCAGAATCAAACCTGGGACCCTTCAGTCCGCAGCCTGAGGCTCTATCCACTGGGCCGTCTTATTATTTTTTCC